CCAGTTCAGTCACCGCCCCACTGCAGCCCAACAGCAGCCGCCGCCATGAGGAGTTGTCGGGCCGCCCGCCACTTCCGGCGCAGACTCGCTGTACCCACCACTTCCGGCGCCTGAGCACGTGACCCTCGGTCCCTCCCCTCTCTGCCCACTCCCCCTGCGGGAGCCGAGTCGCTGCGAGCAGACCTGGGCTGGAGCGGCCCCCCAGCTCGGTGGGGAGTCCGTCCGAGCCGGGCGGCGGAGTGCGGCGCCGTTGAGGGCGCTGCCCAGCACGCTCCCAGGCCGCCCGGGCCCTGGGCTCTTGGAAGAATCAGCGCCCGGGGCCGAAGAGCGGGGACAGGCGGGCGCTGCCGGAGCGCGAGCCCGACGTCGTGTCTGGAGCGGTAGTGACTGGGGCTTGGGCGCCGCCAGCCCGGGCGGAGATCCGCGTTTACCTAGCGCGGGGCCCAGGGCCCTGACGCGGGCGAGGCGGCCCCGAGAGCATGAGCGGGCAGCGCGTGGACGTCAAGGTGGTTATGCTGGGCAAGGAGTACGTGGGCAAGACGAGTCTGGTGGAGCGATACGTGCACGACCGCTTCCTGGTGGGGCCCTATCAGAACGTGAGTGCGCCTCGCGGGCCGGCGCGGGTGGGAGGTAGCCCGCCCCCGCGATCCTGATCGCTTCCCCCTGGTTGCAGACCATCGGAGCCGCCTTCGTGGCCAAGGTGATGTCTGTTGGAGACCGGACAGTGACTTTGGGTATTTGGGTAAGTCCCCTGGGCAGGTAGTCCTGGGAATATCTATTCTTAGGCTTAGTCCTGTCTATTCGTGTCTGATTTGTGGCCTTAGAGAGGCAATTTCTCTTCTCTAGACCCCCGTTTAAAAATGGGGGTCTGGAGGACGTATTAGTTTGCAGTCTTGGGGAGAAGCTCAGTAACTCAGGCCAAGGCTGAGCTTCTCCTGCCCTTCAGGACACAGCAGGCTCTGAGCGCTACGAGGCTATGAGTCGAATCTACTATCGAGGTGCCAAGGCTGCCATCGTCTGCTATGGTAAGGGAGGTTCTCGTCTGCTCCTCAGACAAAGGGTGGGTGCCAGGCTGGCCTTAGCGACTAGCCCCCGACCTTTGGTTGTTTCCTGTCTGCCCTATACCAAGACCTCACAGACAGCAGCAGCTTTGAGCGGGCAAAGTTCTGGGTGAAGGAACTGCGAAACCTAGAGGAGGTAGGTGGCCAGACCTTACCAGAGAACCAGGGGCTGGGGCTCTGGTGGTCTGTGTGGATTACCCTGACCTCGTCTTCTGCTTCAGGGCTGTCAGATCTACCTGTGTGGCACCAAGAGTGACCTGCTGGAGGAGGACAGGCGGCGTCGACGTGTGGACTTCCATGATGTCCAGGACTATGCAGACAGTAGTTGCTTCTCAGTTGCTGGGGGAGGGAAGTGGCTGTTTGGGTGGGTCACAGAAAATAGGGACTGTTTGGCTACCATGGCCAGATCGCCTGGGAAAGCTTTCAGGCTTCCCTGAACCTGTGGGGTCCAGAAGATTTCCCCTTTGTCTGTGTCCACCCGATTCTCAGATATGAGGCTTTAGTTGCTTTTCTTTACAGATATCAAAGCTCAGCTCTTTGAAACATCCAGCAAGACAGGCCAGAGTGTGGGTGAGTGCTGTCCTGGGCCTCACAGCAGAACAGGCAGGGGCACCAGTGGAAGCAAAGAGCCTAGAGGGCTGTGTCACTGGGTGATTCCAGGGCTCCTGGCATTGGGCCTTCACTGATCGCCTTTTTTCCTGCCAGACGAGCTCTTCCAGAAAGTGGCAGAGGATTACGTCAGTGTGGCCGCCTTCCAGGTGATGACAGGTGTGTACTTCCCCTAGCTTCTCTGGAGACTTCCTCTAGGCCCCTTTCACGTGTGTTACCTGATCCCCCAACAGAATGGTGCTGAGCTGCCACCTCTCTCTTTGACAGAGGACAAAGGCGTGGACCTGGGCCAGAAGGCAAACCCCTACTTCTACAGCTGTTGTCATCACTGAACCACCACTTACTTGGCCTGGGGAATCAAAGGAATTCCCCCAGGGGCTGGACCTAGTTCTTGTCTGGGCTTGGGTGGTCAAACATGGCAGCAGAGGTGGCACCTGTCTGTATTGGCCCATGGAATGTGCAGCATTGGGCTGACTGATGGTCATCAGGAGGGTAAAGGCTGATTTGGACTCCAGGCTTCTTCCCTGGACAGCACTGTGTCTGCAGATAACTTAAGTGGCTTCTGATTTGTAAATAAAATCAATGCACTGTGAATCACACTCAGCCCCTTTCTTAGGCCTCACTTCTAATATGATGTCTCCTCCCAGCCCTAATTTTCCTTTGGAAACCAAGTTAACTAAAGCCCAGGGTTGCAGCTGAGATAATGGAGAAACAAAAGAGCCTATTCTGTGCTTTAGGATGGTGAGAGGCTAGGATTGGGACAGAGCAGAACTCACAATTCCTTCTTGGTGCTAGGAAGAGCAAAGCAAGCACTTAAGTGCTGTCCAGAGATCAAAGGACCAAGCACTTCTTCCTCAGACTGGTTCTTCCGCACCTGTCACATCATACCTCTGGCTCATATCCTCAGCTTCCCATCAGCACCTTACAATGTGGTTTAATGGTAGAAATACCATAGTTACTACAATACACAAAATTCTTTTGGGTCCAAATTGGGATCTAATTCAGACACTTAGAAAAGGGACTTAAACTCAGCCTGAATTTATCTGTAAAATGAGGTAACCACTGCCCAGTTGAGGACTGTGAAGATCATGAAGGAAACGTAACTTTGACTAAATGCTTATCTTCCCTGAAGGGCTTTTTGCTGAAGGGGCAGGAAGTTCAAGACTAGGTCGGAAGGGGAGGCAGACTCCAAGGTTGCCTCAAATTTTATTTTTGGACCTTGGAGGACCAGGTGTTAACTGTAAACAGGGCTGACACTTCCTATTCAACTAAAAGGAAGTATATGACAGTCCTTTCCTGTATGGAGGCTTGGCCCCTTTGTTTCTGCTTTCCTGCCTTAGACTGGGTCCTCTGTAATACCCAGCACCTGCCTCTGAACTAAAAACTTGGCCAAGATGGTCAGACTCACACTCAGGAAGTCATTTGGTTCTACTTCCTTTTTAAAAACCAATTCCTCAAAATACCCTTACTTCATGGGTGATGACTTCCTGTATAGAGATGAAAACACCAGCCACTCCCAAAAGAAAGACATTCTGGCACCTAATGACTACTGAGAGGAAACCCATACCACTCCCATGAGGTGCTTGGAAAAGTGCTCAGCTCCACTGTGTCCCACCTGGGCGTTAGTGCAGGGGCTGGCTTCTGCTCTCACCCCAAACCCACCCTCCCTCCTGTTGAGCTACATCTTCCCATCGACAACAAAACACAACACAGGGCAAGGGCCATAAGAGTAAAGTTAAACTTTACTTTACAGTAATTTTTTTCTATATACAAAGAATTACAGTACATGTTTATGGGGACTCCTAGCACAGGGCTCCCCTCTTTTCCACTAAAAGTTTCACTTACAGCTGACAATCTATGGGGGTGAGGAGCAAAAAAAAAAAAAGTGATGGACCTCAGCTGTTCCCCCCACACCCCTTTTCTTAAAAATATAAAGATAGATCTCTAGTGTCAGCTTGTTTCTTAGCCAAAACTTTGAAATCTGCTCTTCCATGAGCTGCTGTGTGCTGCACTCACCCATCTTCTACACACTCACCTACATGCACACACAGGCAGCACCCACCTCAGACCTGGTGACCACCTATTCTCTGCCCCTCCTTTGGGAGTCTAAAGCACCACAACCATTCATTTCTGCTCTACTCCCTGGGCTCTCCTGTCCACATAGCTTTGCTCAACTTCCAGAGTGTTACACCCGAAGCCCCTCAATAGCCTGATGTTTGGAAAGTCATGGGAAAGCAGCTCTAGAGAAGGAACCACTTAAGAATTTAATGTGTGCTGTGTTTTGCTTATGTTGATAGGAAACATTTCTTTCCAGGCTGTAGATTTCTAATTAAACTTTCCACTTCCTTAAGAAAGAATACCTTTAATCTTCATAAGCAATAGAGGTTCCCACGAGAGTGAAAGAGGTAGAGAGGGGCAGAAGGTAACTGAGGGAGACCCCATACCTGGAGCTCTCTACCAACCAGAGGCTATGGACAAGGTAACACCAGCCCTGAAAAACTCAATGGCCACCCTCACCTGGACATGGCATCTCTTCCATCTCTGGATTGCGCTGGACCACTCCAGGATTGGGTACAGGCTTCACCGAGACTCTGCCCTCTCCTCTTAACAGAGCTTCAAAGAACTGTTCTACATAAAAATCTTTTCCTCCCAAACAGGAACTTGGGTTTCTCAAGTCACCAGTTCCTCAACCCTTGGCAGTGCTTATTTATACCAGGAAATTAGCACCATCATTACATTTTTTTGTGTGTACAAAGCAATTATCTATTCTTATTTCAATTTATACTACAGCAATCTGGCCCTAGGAAGTTCAACTGAGAGCTAACTGGCCACAGCCAAGGAAAGTCTCATGCGGCTACCTAGTTGTAAATGATGTGGAATGTCCAAAACATGGAACAGCCTAAACATTATTTAGTAGGAAAGGGACTTGTGGCAGCTCCCTTCCTGCCGCGATCTCAGAGAGGTTACAACATTGGGCCACTCTGACAAACCCCAAGATGACAATATCCCCCCATAAAAGCCTTAGGAGAAAAACCGTTTTGTAGGAGCTGAGGCCAACATCTGTCCATGTTTAGTGCTCTCCTAATTCCTCCACAGGGGAAGCTGCCTGGACCAGACTTCCTGCCAGTGTTCTCACAGGTGACCTGGGAGTCCAGCTCCAGTGAGTAGATGCTGCCAAACCTGTGAAGAATCACTGATGCACTTCATGCCCTGACTGTGGTGTGGGGTAGAGGATATGAAGAATACAATTATTTTCTTCAATGCCAAAGATGTAGGTTTGGTAGTTGTTCAGAAGAGGATCAACATAGTGATTTAAATCACCTCAAACTCAGTAACTTTAGGGAGACACAGACATTTAAAAACTTGGATGCTTTTGTAGCAATGAGAGCTATTTGCTATCACAATGGGTTGGCTTCAGTAGGAGAAGCAAAGAGGCTTTGAATTTAAACAGTATATATATATATTTTTTCCTGACTTAACAGGGCTAGGAGAGGTATTTGTTCTCTAGCTACCTATGGAAGCTATGGCTTCCCCCTGGAAAAGGCTTCCTGGGAAAGTGGCTTAGAGGCATATTCTCGAGATCCCGGTTTCCAAGCACTTGGCCAAATACCAAAAATACCATCCTGCATAAAGATCAGGAATGTCTAAGAGAAAAGATTACCTTTTAATTTCCAACTCGCAATCCTTGGAGAAAAGGTCTTAGCACAGGCTCCAGGAGAGTCCTCAAGGGTAGTCACTCCCTCCCAGCATCATGCAATATCAGTTCCCAACAGTCCTGATTGTGCTTCTAATTGTATAGTGACTGCTTTCATGATTGGATGTTAATAATCTAGAATGAGATGCTGAGATCAGGGGGCCTCACAGTTGAATTTCTAGGTTCCATTCAAGCTGAGAGTCTTTCCAAATGGCACCCAGGAAAGCCTGGCACTCCATCCATTTAGATAAAGAACTGCCTCCTACCCCGTAAACCAAGCATAGCTCAATTGTTTTCCCAGGCAGGTCTGGAAGGAAGTATTCAGTGAGTGGTGGAAAACGGAAAGGACCAAAACAAACCCTTTATAAAGTGGTCAACCATGGCCCACCTTTTCCTCACTCCTTCCTGTCCCATGAGACATGTCTAGAGTGGCTATCAAGAAAATTACCTACCAAAGCCTACTTCAGAGAAGCTATTTTAGGATCGAACTTCTCCATTTACAAATTTTTACAAAGCCTGCACAACCCCCCACCACAAAAAAAATTCACAGTTTATTCCATTAAACAAAGAACTACGGTAATTTAACACACAACATAGTGAAAGGAGATTCTGACAGTGCAGTGTGGATACTTTTTCTGATCGCAACTACAGATGACAGGAGAGAAAAGGGCACAGGACTGGCACCAAGCAAACCCTACTCGTACAACCTAAGAGATTAGGGGAAAAGACCTACTAGCTGCAGTTATATACTTATTATTCTCACACATGATAAATACTTAATATAATGAACTTTAACGTTCTGGGTGGATTTCTTTAAAAATATCTTTTCCATGGTTTAAAATTTTTTAAAAAGAAAATAAGATACTTTGTTTTCTCTTCCTTTTCAACCAAGAGCTTTTCTTCTCTGATGATGTGGGAAGAGTTAGGATGAAAATGGAGAACTAGGCAGGTGGAATTTACAGAGGAGATTCCGAGGTCTAAGTGAGATGCAAGGATAGGCCCCTAAACTCGGGGCAGCCCTGCCCAGCCTTGTGCCTCTGCCTGAGTTCAAGTGTCTCAATCCCAGAGACCCACTTTGGGAAATAAAAGCAAAGTCTTTTTAATTTTTATATAAAGCGCAAATGCTTCTGTAACTATCATTCCCTCCTTTAGAGTGATTAGAGTAGCCTCACTAGGAACTCAGGAGGAAACTGGGACAAAATACAGACTCCTGTTGATATAAAAGCCATAACTGAGACAGAATGGTTAGGAGACATTTGGGCCAGATGGCCTGGTTGGCTAAAGCTGCTGGCTAAGTTGGCAAAGCAGATAGGTAAACACATTTGGTCTAGGGACAAAAGAGACATGGATGAATGGGAAGAAACTGGCCAAACAGCACTTCCTGTTGGCAGTCAGTGAGCTGGGTGAATGGTAGGGCAGGGTAGCACCAACAGATTTCCCAGCCCTTGAGCCCCAGCTCAGGGCAGCAGTAACAGATAATCAGCAGTTATGAGGAGTCAACTCTTAGACTGGACCTTTCTCTAAATGCCACATCTTGCCAGTCATAAAGGAAGGGTTATGGTTGCCTTTAAACTTGAGTCAGCAGGCAAGTCCTCTCAACACAGAGCACAATTCTCAGGGGAGGGTGGTGAAATCCACTAGTGAAGAAGAGGACTCCCTCCATTCAGGCAGGAAAGCAAAGGATCAGAAGAGAAGTCATTTTCTGTCAGGATCTGGCACCCTCCCTGAGCTGGTGGTGGATCTAGCTCAGAGCTTGCTAGAGATGCCTAGGTCCACTGCCCAAGACTCTGAAATCTGAAAGCACCTGAGTGTGTGGGGGACGGGCATAGGGTGGATTGATGTAAAAGGAGGAAAATGGGTAAAAAAGAAAGATAAGCTTGCCAATTGCCTTCTTACACTATGGGAAAGCTACATCATTGTAGAGCCCAGCCTCCCCACAACCAGCTATTCCACCACGTATAGATCTTCAGACAGAAGCAGTGGTGGTGGCTGCCCAGCCAACAATCTCACTTGGCCTCTGCAGCCCACCCTGCCTGTAGACAGCTGCATGAGCACACATGCATGCACATGCACACGTGCACACCGAGCCCGAGGAAACTTACTCAATACAATCATTTCTGGGACCATGCCCCAGGGCCCCTCAGAACTTCATGTTATTTCCTGGTCAAAGGTTCTTAAAAACAGCCTAGAAACCCAGGCAGGCATGTTAGGCTCATAAGAATCAGGTCTTATTTATCTCTGTATCTCCTATCAGTGACCAGCACCTGGCCTAGCACACACGAATGCTCAAGAAATTGCCACTGGTTTGAATGGGTATCAGTTCCTCCCAAGGGTTCATCAGGTGCCCTCAGTGGGGCTCTGTAGGCATGGAGAAATAGCATCAAAAGCCCCTCTACCTTCCAACCTGACCAGCGGAATTGAATCCCATGTTTGACTCCAAGTGGACTTTTTATTTCAAGGTGACCATTTAAGGGTTGAGGGAAAGAGACCCAAGTCTGTCTGTCTCCTTGGCTGAGACCCACTTGGATTTCCATACATGTTTCACATAACCACAAGCCCCCACTGGCTAATGTCACAAGAGTTCTGAGTGTTGGGATATAAAGAAAGAATAACAGTGAAAAGGTAGTGGGGTCTGTTTTATAAGGGAGGAGAATAATATTTCCCTCCTCCAAGAACCCTGGGGGTAGCTGGTCTGGTCATCTGACATTTACTGGTATTATTTCTGTTCTGACTCTGCATACTTGTGACTGGAAGGCGCCTGGTTAAGAGTTGGAAATGTGTTTTGCTCTGGTTTAGGGTCTTGCCCTCTTCCAAGAGACCAGCAAGTCTGTGCCAATGTCTGTGTGCTCCCAGAGGACCAGCAAGATGATGCCAGTGTGTGTCCAGCCAACATGGGCCAGAGCCCTGGCCCTGGTGAGGTCTTTCCTAAGGCCCAGGGACTCTGCTCTGTGGTTGCCAACTTCTTCTCTTCAGTGGAGAGGGAGGATGGGGCCTTCCCAAGAGGCCTGAAGGACTGCCCACTCTTGGCAACAAGTCCAGGTACTTGATGGCCTCCAGCCATCTGTTTCACCTGCTTCACCAGGCCCAGTGCTTGGCTGGGAGGCCCTGGGATCTGCTCAGCTCCTGCAGGTGCTCTTCCTGCAGCCTGAGTTGCTGACTCATATAAAAAAGCCTTGGCAGGGGATGGAGAAAGAAGTCTGGCTTGGGTGAGTGATTTAACAGCTTGCCAGGGGTGCTCCAAGGGGGCCACGGCTTTTCCAGGAGGCTGAAGGACAGGCTCTGACACACTGCCTCTCTCCACAGCTCGAGACATCTGCCCCAGACCTTTGCTGGCAAGCCATGAGCTGGACTCCAACACTGGCATCTTCTCATCAGCTTGTGGTGTGGCCTCATGAGGAGAAGCTGCCCGTTCTTTCTGGCGAGAAGTTAGGTCTATAAGATCCATCACCAAAGCAGCTCTGTTTTTTGACTGAGTATTCTGGTCCACGGGCCTCAGTGCTTTTTCTTTAGCTACCAGTGTCTGGACCACAGCTGATAGCACTTTGTCAGGAGGTGGGAATCTCTGGGTCAAAGAAGTATGGGATTTGTCTGGAGACCTGTCTGAAGTCTGGGTTTTGGGGCTGCTGGTGACGAGCAGTCTGTCTGATGGTGGAAGTCTCAGGACAGTAGGGACTGGGGTTTTCTCCAGTGACTGGGGCCTTGGGCTGGCAGCACCTATGGATTTATCCAGCCTTGGGTCAGCTGCCCCTAGAGGTCTTTCCAGTGGTTGGGACCTGACTGAGGGTGAAGAGCTTGGGCCAGTCACTGGAGAGGGTTTGTCAGATAGTTGGGTTCTTGGTCCTCCCACTATAGATGGCCTGTCCAATGACTTCTGGCTGGATACCAAGGACTGGGGTTTGGCCCCTGACCCAGCAAGGGTCCTGACCCTTTCTACAGGCTGGGGCCTGGAGTCAGTTCTGTCAGGAGGTCTTTCAGGCGGTGGTGGCCTCTGACAAGTCCCTGCCAGAGTTTTTTTGGACAGTGACAACGTCTGGTTGGCTTCAGCAGGTGGCTTGTCCAACATCTTGGGCCCCTGAGCAGCTACTCCTGATGATTGTTGCTCTGCCAGGTGAGTGTTTGGGCCTGGAGTCAGTGGTACCGGGGGAGGCACATACTCACGGATCTCCCCAGGTTCCAAAGGGTTGGGCCCACAGGGGTCGTGCTCAGTACAAGACAGACGTCCATCCAGTTTGGAGATGAAGAGCATCCCTTCCCGATGCTGCTTGCAAAAGGAGCTAGGACACATCTCGCAGAAGGAGGCTGCTTCCTTCCCACAGATGTCACACTGATGCCAAGGACACTCCCATTTCCCTGAAACACAGATGTGAAACAAGAGCTTAGGAAAACAAGAGATGGGCGATGGCTCTGGAACCAGGTCAAAGGAGTGATTTCAAACTGCCCTGTTCTACAGATAGCTCATGCTTCCCCAGCGCCAGGATCTCAGCTTCCTCTTCTGTACAACCGCATATAAAAATAACTGCCAGTATCAAGTAGCAACTAAGCATCAACTAAATATACAGGCAGGAGTAATTCCTTATTTCTATTATTTCTATTTCTAGCAAGGAATAAGACCCCAAAGCTCCCCTTACATCAAGCATGTCAAACTCGTGGCCCAAGGATCACATGTGGCCCACAACAAATATTTTTGTGGCCCAGCCAATGTAATAGTATGTTAAGAAATGTTTTAATAAAAATTTCGTAACTTAAATTTTTACAATATCCTTTTATACATAATTATTAATAACGAACTACAACGTTCATTAACGACTGATTACTATAATTGTGTTCCCTTACGCACCTTACGCTCAGGCGCAACATTTCACTCCACTAATACTAGCAGTGAATATTTTAGCAGCTGATTGCCACATCATTAGTCTTATATTGACTTGTTGAGTGTGCGCAACAGGAAATATTTTGCTTTCGGAGAACAAGAAAAATAGGTTTATTTGTGTTACACTTATTATTTTGTGCAGTTATTCAGTGTCTGGTAAGTTAATGTTCAAGAAAAAAACATTAATTTTTATTAAAACGTTCTATTATTTTATGTTAATGATTACTCATTTATTTCAGCCCTTTGTATTCAGCATGTTTCTATTGAAATAAACCTACGTTTCTATGAAAACTGAAGCTTTTTTTTTTTTGCGGCCCACATAAACTTAAACCTTGTTTATTTGGCCTGTGTTAGCCTTTGAGTTTGACATGCTTATCTTAGATAAAATATGAGGATATTACTTTCATATTTTGCAAACTCCTTTTGTCCTATACAGCCTTTAAATATTCTACTCTAGCACAACCGGCCTGGCTCA